GAACTTTTTTCCATTAATTGCCTTGTCATTCAGACCTGGAAACCATTTTGTTTCCAGGAAAGAACTGTTTGTGACACAAGTGGAGTTTTCGGTGTGAGTCCTGGGGATGTTGAGGTTAGTAAGATTTTCACATGTATAGTTTCAGAAAAAGAAAGGATGTAGAACTCAAAGACATTTCTCTTCCTGTGTGTGGCTTGAAGGCTGAGTATAGTTTGATGGTATCAGTCAGCTTTTATACTCTCTTGTGCTGAGTCTCTTTTTAATGGTAGAAAAAGGAGTAACTTTCCTGATTGTTGCTGGTAACAAAACCACCTGGGGAAAGCTGCTCTAATACTAGAGGTCTTTGTTGAATGTATTTGCTTTCAGCTGTTCTGGAGATGCTCCTCTCTATATGTGTCAGTCTAATTTTGGTGTCTAAAGGAAGGAAAGGGGGTGGAGAACAGCCACCAGTTTTTTTTCTTTAAGGAGAGATAAGTAGAGTGTACTCATCTCTTACACGCAGTTTACTTCCACATGTTTTTCTTTGATGGCTGCTGAAAAGGTGAGGACATTGTTTTAATCTATTCTATATGACATTGCACTGGGGGATGCATTTTTACTTACTGGGATGTTGGTTTTTTTTAAACTGCAAAGATTTCATGGAAAGACCACAACTGGAACTTAAGTGTTTGTGTTGGGTTTGGGTTTGTTTGTTTGGGGTTTTCTTTGGTTTTGTTTTTTTACTTTAAGTGCTGGCATGGGATGTTATTAAGATCATAAGACATAACTTTGGTAAAACATTATCAAAGAACTTTTAAGTAATTTGCATGTGTGCATGCAAGGATGTGAAAATTAACCTGTTGCAGCCAGGTAGTGTAAAATAACACTTGTGATTTTTCTTATATAAGAATAAATTTATGTGATTGGCCTCTACAGAACAGTAGACAGACACAAACTACAGTAACTTTTGTGATCATTTTTACTCTGAACCTTCTTAGTGTGTGTCCTAGCTACTGATATATTATATCCATCTTCTGGGTTAATGGATGAAGTACTCCAGTTATTTAAAGTCAATGAAGGCCATGAATTTAGAAGATCAGCTTATTTATACTTATGTAATTGTAATTATTTTGCTAATGCTTAGGGATCTGAAAGGAGATCAATAATACATTATATGCAAACTTGCTTTGAGAAAAAGCTTGCTAAGTCAGGCATTTTTAAGTTCAAAAACTTAAATAAACCACCCTTTGCAAACTTAAAAAGGCCTGCCTTAGACAAGCTTGATTGATGTTCAATTATATAACTACATAGTTTTAGCCTGATAGAAAAAAACATGGCCTTCTGAGGTTGCACTGTGTGTGTGCATCTCTCCCTCTTTTAAGGTGTCACTATGTCGGTTGTCCCATCTCCTTTACGACGGCTTTGAGACTTCACATGATATTTTTAAGCAGCTACTGATCCATCTTCAAGGTGTCTGATGCTGGTTTATTTTAAATACATAATTTGAAATAATGCTTGAGCAAAATATTTCATCCGAGCTTTGTGGGAGAAGTGCCGTGGTATTTACTTAAAGAGGTTGCTGCTGCTTTTGGTTTCACGTAGAAGATGCTTGGCTTTGAGGTTAGCTGACTATGTGAAACACCTAGCTAGCTGGGCTCAGTGGATAGATGTGAAGGGAGGGCACCCATTAGGGTTTTTAGGATTATTTTTTCCTGTCAAGGAGGGTCATTACTAAAAACACCACTTCTTTATTACTGCCGAAAACCTATTCTAGTGCAGAGAGCTTTGGTGTTAGAAAAGCTGCTCTTTTACAATGGTAGAGAGCTTTTCAGTCTAATCTGAACACCTCTGAAATGATAATGCGTTCCAGTCTGTTGTGGGGCACAAGGATTCTCTCCCATTTTGGGGGATGTAATACTTTGTTTATTCTTAACTCATCATTAAGGTAGATTGAGTTATCGTTGAATGCTCAAGAAAAATTGACAGAACACAATGATTGTCAGAGCTTAAAATCTTCATGAAGATTAAAAAGCAAACAAACAAAGCTGTAGGAATTTCCAGGCACAATATTCATAGAGTGCTGACCACATGATGTATTTTAAGCTTTACTCTCTGCAGTGCGTGATGATCTTGTCCAGCGGTGAGAGAGCAGTGGTGGCTTCTTCCCTCTCTGCATAGTGCACATACTGTAGGACATGGGACCACTGGCACTTTGTTCTGCCGTAGGTTTGTTCTGTTGTTTGGTGCCAGAAGATGATCCTACTCTTTCTATTCTAGTCCCTGTTGGCAGTCTACTGGCATTAGATTCAGTGCTCATGATTTACCACTGTGAACAGGGTATGAAGTGTAGCAATAAGGCCAACTGGTTTTAATGATGATGCTTGCAGTATCACTAATGAACTGTGGTGGAATGCCCTTCTAAAGAATCCTGCCCTGGCTAGGGCAGAACCCATGTCTCCAGGGGGGACTAGCTGTGTGCAGGACAGTGGAAACAAGGGGAAGCTCCAAGCTGTTCCTTTCCTCACACCATTTACATTTGCGCAAGCTTGAATAGCTGAAAACATAATAAAATACAATAAAAAAAACCAAAAATATCTCTAAATAAGATTCTACATACCCTCAATATTTTTCATACAGTAAGATGTCATCTGAAACCCATTTCCCAAAATAGCTGTGAAGTGTGCTTTCTGCTCTTCTATGAAGAAGGGTGATAGTCCTTTTATAAAGCATTTGAAGAAGATATAAAATAACAACTATTTCTGTGCTTGCTTAACTGCAGAGGTTGCTCTTAGTAACTGTTTTACTGTGGCACGTTCTTAGTAGCTCTGTAAGACATTAATATATTTAAAATCATTAGAGTGGTTTTATGGGATTCAGCTAATGACAATCACGAATTTTCCAGCTTGTACTGATGCTTCTGCAGGGCATTCTGATGATGATGTAGATGTGCTAGCCTTTGGAAATCCTAGGAGTTTATAGAAAATGTATCTCACACTGCAGTGGGTGTTTTGGTATCTTTGGTGCAGAGGTCACTGAGTTTATACTGACTGCTGTTTTAGATTGTATTGACTTAAATGGAGTTGAAGGCTCAAAACATGCTCAATCCTGGGAGGTATTCTTGAGGTAAAAGATGAAAGCAGGTAAAGGATGCAGGGGCTTTTGAAAATTACATATGCTGTGTTAAAAAGCTGCTTGGGCTTTTTAGCTTTCAACTGAGTAATTTCCTGTGAAACTGCAGTTCGTAAGGAAATGAAATATGATTCTGCCTATCTCTGTCTCTCTTGTTTCCACAGGAAACCAATCTTTTCTTTCTTTTTTTTTTCCTTTGTTAATACTGCTGCTGTGAAATGCTTTATTTGTTATAAATAAAAATTATCACTTCCTTTTTATTTTATTTATTTTTTTTTCTTTTTTGGTGGGAAATTAAGTAGCTCGATTGGGGCAAACTGTATGTAAACTAATTCCCTGCATCAACAAAAATACATTGTCACTGTATATCTGAAGTTTTGGTGCGGGGTGGGGTTTTCCTTTGGGGTTTTTTGTTTGTTTGTTTGTGTTTTTTTAACTTACAACTCACAGTATTTTAAAATAATGATCTAGAAATGCGGATAGCTGGTCAGATTCTCAGCTAAGGTCCATCAATGAAGCGTCAGTAACTGCTTTGGGAAAGCTTTCCCCTGCTGTCCTAGTCTCTAGACCTTCTGACTAGACCCTGTCTGCATGTATTTAGTTCAGATTAAGCTTGAAACACCCAGTTTATATATATAAATCTTTAATATTTGGTGTACCGTATGTGTAATGTTCTTCCATTTCTTGTAATAGACACTAGACAGTATTAAAACTGAATATGGTGTGTAAACAGAATTAGATTGAGTAATCATTTTCTTGCTCTACTTTGCTGTAAAATACATTTAAAATTATTCTCTATTGGGAGTTTTACAAAAGTGAAGATCATAAAATATATCCAAAATACAGTTGTGTTTCTGTTTTAATTTTATACTTCTCATATATCTGTGCATTAACATCATCAGTTTTAGACCAAAATAGTTAATGCACTGAGCTGGAAATAACATGTATGTTAAGTCTTTAGTGTTTGTGTGTATTAACAAAGATAAACGTTATTGGGCATTAAACTGTTTATTTAGGAGAGACCCTTAGCGGGTTTCTTTTGCTCTTTCCTCTTAGGCTTGTGATGTTTTTTCTTTTCAGTAAGATGAGATTAGAAAGGGGCATTTTTGTCCCAACCAGTATGGCTTTTTCAGTAATGGGACCTGTAAAACTGTGTTCAAAACTAATTTAAGCTTCTTTATCGGTTGTTTTATGTTGACTGAATAAAAAATGTGAAGGTTCATGGCTGAATGTAAATGGACAACACGGTGAGACTGTCTGAAGAATGGGACTGTCTCAAAGCCTCTCCTGAATCTGAATTAGTGCATTAAAGGTCTGAGTATAGCAAAGTGTGGTCTTCACATACTACTTAAGATGTCCTGAAGAGGTGAAAAGAGATGACAGCATGTGTGGTTTTTTTTTTTTTTTTTTGTTTGTTTCTGGTTATGTTTTGTTTTGTTTTCCTCTGTAGGCCTGGAAATCCCAAATCTGCAAGACCAAATAAAAAATCCCTCCATTCCTTTACACTGTCTCTTGGTGAATTGTCCTTCCTTCTGGTGACAGTTAAAGCCCGATCCTGAGCCTTGCTGCAAGCTCTCATCTCTTTTGGAACCACCTTTTGCAACAAAAGAAAAAAAGAAAAGAAGTTCTTTTGTGTGCAACAGAGAAGCTGCTGTGACCTTGCTAATTGTTCGTATTCCCTGGGTAGCAGAAACACTTAAATAATGACTTGCATGAAGACAGACACTGTTGTTTTTCTCTTCAAGGGTATGACACAGTGAACCGTAACACCAATTACATAAGAGTGCAGGCACTTACAACCACTCAGACTACTCTATAAAGTAGTATCCATCATTCTGGATGTTGTAGAACCGTAGGACAGGAGTCTACAAAATAAGAGGAGTTTGGGGAAAATGGCCTGTGAATTTAATCTAAATTTTCTTAAGGAATTGGAACGAGAGGCTGTTCTGGAAGTCCTGTACCGTGACCAGATGGTGAGAGAGACAGAGGAGGAAAGAATAAGGTATCTGCCATTCCCTTATTCCTGGATTTCTCTTCCTTTTTTTTTTTTTTTTTTTTAAAAAACTCAGAAGCACTCCTCCTCTTCTTTGCTGTAATTCCAGATGTATTCCTTTTGTTTATTTATTTACTAATTTTTTTAATGACCGGTTAGCTAATGCCTTTTGATTCTTTGGGAAAACTAAGGGTTATCTAGAGGCCCTTAGATTTACCATAATATACACTAGTCTACAGTAAAGATGAGCAAATACTGTTCAGTGAATAATCTACTTAGAAAATTTACTTTTAGCCTTCATAGACAAACTAAAGGCAGCAACTGAACTTTCTATGAAGGCTAGAACTAAAATTCTGTAAGTAGATTATGGCTGTATGACATCGTGTTCCTACGTAGCCCTATATGGTCCTGGTAACACAGAACATCTTCAGATCTTTGACTGGTTTATTTAACTTGCGTTGTGCCATAACTGGAATTAAGAATAATTGGATACCTGCTCATTTTGCTGAATCCATCACTGCACTACATTGTCTCAGAGGTTATTACTAGTGTCAACAGGTGTTATTGGTTAGGCTATTTAGTTATTTCACACTATGCAAGTATCTCAGTTGTGAAGGTTACATTCTCCAGCATTTTATTTGCTTTATATTAGGGCTACAGCAAGGATTTCCTTGCAGCTTGTCTACTTTGTTACACTACAACCCTGTGTAAAACAGGGTGTTTGTGTTGTGAAGTTACGGATTTTTAGTCTCTTAAATGTAGAAACTTAAACTTCTTACAGCAAACATTGAAGTAAGTATTACTGGACATCTTAAATGATTGTGAAAAGTAAGTTGAGGGCTATAAAGGAAGTTGGAATTGGTCAGAAAATCCCTTTCACCTACTGATGATTTGCTAACAGTTAAAAACGTAGATCTTGGTTACCGGTACATGTAATGAAAGCAAAGTTAATGAAAGGGAGAGTCTTTGATATTTTGGTCTGATATGGCTTTTATTTAACTTTCAGATGGTGCATTTGTTATGAATATTTTTACTTGATAAAAGATTTTATTATTGGATAAATATGGTAAAAAAAAATCAAATGACAGAGCACTGTTTAGTCTCAGTTTTTGTATGTGAATACGTAATCACTTGCATATGCACTTTCAGTACCCTGCCCTGAGCATGCACAAGTGACATGAACAGAATCGTGTTTGTACTAGACTATTACTCTGTTTGTATGCACAGTTGTGGTTGCATACAGAGTGACAGTGCAGAAATGCTGTGCGTAGATGCTGTCAGTAAGTGCTCAATCAAGGTCTAACTTGGAGGCGTATCTCCCGCTAGTAATGATATTGCACAACCAGGGTATTAGTTTGCAATTTACATGGGGGTTTTAGTATGTTTAATTTTGTGATCTTTTCTTTTTGTTTGCTTTTCTTACCTGGGGGATTAGGAAACTGAAACTGCAGCTGCAGCAGCTTCGGTGGAAAGGGGCAAGAAATGCAAGCCATGAATACCAGGAGAGATCTTGTGCTCGCTGTCAGAAATTGCTTGGGTTACTGATGAACAGAGGTGCAGTGTGCAATGGGTGTAGTCATCGAGTGTGCTCTGAATGCCGTGTTTACCTGAATCCCTGCCTTTGGAAATGTACTGTTTGTTATGCTCATGGGTAAGAAATTCTACTGGTTTGGATAAGTGCTGGTTCACACTGGTTATCCAGTGCATGCATGCTGGTTTTGTGTTTGTGTTGCTTTAAATAATTAATTGAACAAAGCCTCTGGTGGAATGGAAATGTTGGCTGGAGTCCTGGTAGTGATGAAGTGGATGACAGTTTTGTGTTATACTTCCAGTAGTCAGGATTTCGCAAATGTTCTTGTATTTTGCAAAATGAGTCCTTGGGGTAGGCCAGATAAAAAGATAAAGAGAGCAAAGCACAGAAACAGTTGTTAGTTTCTGAACTGTAGCTAGAACTCATTCCCCTGACTCAATACTAAGCCAGTACATCATAATAAGTTGCTGAAGGGGTAACTAGTACAATATACACAGGTAGTGATTTTTTTATTTTTTTTTTAATTTAATATTCTGCATTACTCCTTACAAAGGTATATTTTAAATGCCTAAAATGCCTTTAAATCAAGCCACTGAAAGAGCTACCAGCATCCCACCTATAGTTTGCCTATCTTAACACAGAGTAAGGTTAGGTGTAAAATGACAGACCCAGGGATTTTGCGGTCTGGACTTTGGCTATGGCTGTAGCGCTCATGTTTAGAGGTTTTGCTTTCTTAAGGAGGCAAGCCCTATATAAATTTACTGTCTGTATGTTGTTGCCAATTTGAAGCGATTTTTGTCAGAGGGAATGGTAGTAAAGACATGAATTTCATAGGGGGGGAAAAAAACCAAACCACAAACTACTGGGTAAAGAAAGTTTAGTGGTGCCTGCACTGAGGAAATCTTTGCAGTGGGACTTCATCTTATAAAAAGTGTCAGAAAATTCACAAGGAACAGAGCTACTGTATATGCCCTAAAAATTAGTAAGACATTTGGATGAGAATTTCAACCCTGAAGACTACAGAGAATCCTCTCCTCAGTTAAAATTCTTTTTGCCTGTGTAATAAACGGATGAATTCCAATTGCAGACTTCATCTAAGCCTGTTGGAAACAAAATGCAAGAGTCAAATCTGTTGGAAATTGTCTCTTGACAGAGCTATTGGGTCTGATACAATTTTATACTTTTTAATCATAGCTTTTCTGATCCTGTGATCATGGTGCCTTTCTATGACACTGACAGTATTGATGTTAGTTTCCACAAAACGGAGGGAGATGGGCCATGAAGCCATCACACCATCAGGGTTGTGGAGCTAAGTGCTTCCTGGTAGCCATCCCAAGTTCTGCCTGGGAGCATGTCATCTATTGTTGACTTTCCCTGCTCCTCAGACTCGGCTGCAGCTGTAAGCAGTCAGCACACCAGACAGCACAAGTGCCTGGGCTGTATTGTAACTTGCTTGTATAGACTAGAGTGGATCCAGAACTCCTGGCTTCAAAGTAATGTCTAGAGCAGTATGTATTGCTTTTCATGGGCAGTCCTACATGGGGTGGGGGGGAGGAAGGTAAGGAGGAATCCTTTGTTTGCAGACCCACAACAAAATCTGTAAAGGGAGTGAGCAGTCATAAAGTCTTAGTTTTGTGGTAGGATTAAGAAGTATTCTTGGATTGTTAAATAGTTACCAAATATTTGAATAAATGCACTTTGGAAAATGTTGATTTAAATGTCTCTTGCTTGTTTTTCAGAGATGTGAAAGTAAAGGCTGGCGAATGGTTCTTTGAGGAACGAGCAAAGAAATATCCAGGTGAAGGTAATCACTGACCAAAAACTGCTGTGTCATGTGTAGTCCTCATCTTAGTGAAACGTTGAATGTAGTCTGCCACTGTATTTAATGCTTCTTCCACTTGGTGAGAGATCTGTGAGAAATTGTCATGCAGTGCATCTGTCTATGCACTAAATAAAACATGAACACAAATTAGTAGAATGCATTTAAAAGTATGATTTATTTGGTGTGAGTAGCAAGAATATTGTTGGCCATATCGATTTGAGTTAGTGAGCATGTAAGACTTCTAAGAAATACAATGACATGAAATAAATACAGAAATGTTAAAATACATGTGCAGGAAGGAAATGATCTTGCATCCACTGTTAAAGTTAAAACTCCAGTTGTTTTCAGTGGGAAAGTTCTAAAGCTTAAAGTAGTGACAGAATGGAATAAAGAAAAACATGTATAGCTGTAAATCAACAGAAAGCTAAATGCTTACTGTTACTTTACTTTCAGCCAGCTGTGCCATTGCCTTGTGTTCAGTCTTTTCAGTGCAATTAAAAATGCAAAGCTGTAAAAGAAATTATAGAGGATGTGGATGGATTGCACTATAGAGAATGTGTTTTGCCAGCCAGGGGACTGTTGGTCTTTGTTTTCACCTACAATGACTAATGAAGTGGAGGGGATTTCCTTCCTACTTCCCCTGAAGCGCCACTTCAGATAGGCAACTATTTCGCTTTGTGCTTGACTGTAGCTAAATGTTGAAGTTTTACTTCCAGTATCTGCATCACGTATAGATTAAAGAGTAGCTCATAAAAAGGAAGGCACTGAAACATCTCTTGGGAAACTTGAACAGGAAGAAGTTTATAAATGGGAGTATGTAGTCAAGCAAGTTTTGGGTAGTAGGTGTTCACAAAAGACAGTAAGTAGCATATTAAGAAACTGAACTACAGTTCCTGCAACAAAAATTCATTTAAAATCTGAAAGATTTCATGGAATTCCATTCTAGCTAACATAATTTCTGATTTTTAAAATATTAGTTTAACAGTTCTTATTGGAAAATGCTGTGTTGTTCTCGGACACTGAACCTGATTTTGTAAGGTACTGACTGTCCCTTTTTCCAGTAAAATAAGTGAGTTCTCACCTTGCATTATCAAAGCTTTGTGGGTACTTGAAGTATTTTGCTTAGTTAGTCTAATAGTAGTACTGTTGAAGTCACAACGCTCTAAGGACATGTGGAAGATAAGCCTGCAGGGAGAAATATGTTTGGTTTAGTTCCTTTTGATTAGACTAACTGACATAATTAAAGGGGTTAAAAGCGTCAAACTTTGACACAGCAGCCGTTGTAGTTATGTACCCTTCAAGCCTGGAGAGACAGTGCCCTCTTTTGGTTTGAAAACATAACACAAGTGGAGTATTCACTGGAAAATAAGTTTAACTGAAAAAATACGTGTTACAGTAAAGTTTTTCTCATGTAAAAAATTGTATCAGTATGTTTTTTATTAATTTTGTGTAGCTTCTATCTAAAGAATAAAAATATTTTATCAAAGTGATTGCCTTTCCTGAATAATAAATTAAAAAATCTAAGAAATCACTTAATGCTGCAATAAATCATTATACCAAATATTACTGATTAATAACAAAGCATTGTCTGGAGTTTTGATTGAAGTTTGGAACATCAGTAAGCTGATTATTGTTTCCACCACCACCAAGGTCTATTAATTTTATGCTAGCAATATGATATAATTAATGACATCTTCAGCAAAGTATGGATCATATGTTGTTTTTAGTATTAGGATTGAGTAGTGATTAAAGCCACCCCAAATATTTTCAGTTGGCTATTTGTTACACACATTTAGCCCTTCTTTCTGTTTGTGATCACTCAGAAGCTACATTTTTATGAGTCTTCATTGTTTGTGCCTGGTGAAGCGCTTGCTCCTTGGTGTTCACCTGAGGAATGTGACATTTCCCCACAGGGGCTGGCCTTGGCAAAGATTTTTTTGCTCGTGTTTGTGAGCTAGTCATGTGTTTTCATGATTGTTCAAGGTCTCTACTGGGAAAAGTGGAAAGAATTTTTTGTAAAATGTGAGAGACAACCGCATGCCTACTCTTGTACATGTTTTCAAGCTTTCCATAGTGTTTGAGTGTTACGGTTGATGTGTCCTTTGGTGCAGTAGGCCCATGCACTACCTGCGTCCTGGACCTCAGGAGGCTGAGAGCACTTACAACCTGTAGGAATGGGCCTGTTAGCACTTGTACATGGCCATCCTCAGCATTTGTGAAGAGCTGGTCTGAACGTGTCACCTGTGAGAGGTGAGCGTGAAATTATGATGCAGTTTGTGGTACAGGATAAACTTGCATGTTGTTTGGCATGTATGCTGGTATGTCAGGTGGGGGTTAATTTTTTCACTTCTGACTTACATGTGCATGAGCTCCTGTAAATACAGGCCAGCTCCTGAAAGGCATGGATTTGAAAGAGTATCATACAGGTGTTAGTAACTGCTGCTGTTGCTAAATGACCTCTGGGTGGGTTTTTAGTTTGTTTTTCTCCTTCACAGGCAAACATGAAACAGTCGGTGCACAGCTCTTGAAATCTTATCAGAAACTGAGGTAAGACTCATAAAAGGACAAATGGTCCTAGAACACTGGGAATCTGTATAGGTGATATATTGTATGTTATAAACTAGCCAACCGTTTGTTTTTTATAATGAAAAAAAGTTTTCAGTACTTTTTGCATACAAATAAAAAAAATCATAGAAAAAAGCAACTTTTGTCTGTCAGCAATACATAGAAAGGGTGTAAGTATGTTTAGAGTAATATTTATCTTATTTACTTGAAGGGACATATGTTGGGATATATGCTCATATTTTTATATAGGTGCTTACACCATTGTCTTTCAAATTTCCACACTATGAACAGAGGCTAAAATTATTTACTCAATGGGAGATATTGATAATCTGATAACTTTAGAATAAATAGTAGACAAGAAGCTCTCTGTTCAGTAAGATGTGTCCACTTACCAAGCTTAAAACAAGTTAAAAAATCCAGTTTATACTGAAATACTTTGACTAGAGGACTAAGCATAATCATACTTAAGTTATTACTAGTGATATATAATGAAATAAGTCTACTTAAACTACATTGCATAAAAGAAACCCTCTTCCTTAAAAAAAAATTAAATAAGATACAAAGAGATGGCCTCAATTTTATGATAATTAACTGGTAAGGCATAGCCGCATGAGACAGAAACTTACAGTCAGCTAGATATGATCCTAACTAGGACTGCATAGGACTTGCTTTTACCTAGATGTGGTAAAAGACAATCAAAAACGAAGTTCACTAGCTGCCTTTCAGGCTGTGATTGTGCTGTGATAACAGAATCAGTCAGATGGCAGTCAGAGGTTTGTTTTTTTTTTTCACAGGCTGGGGCTATTTACAACAAATGAAATGGCTGGAATGCTGTAAAGGGGCTCTAACAGTTTCGGGCCCAGACAAGGAAGTGCCCTTCTAGTCTTGTAAATAAAGGTGGAAACATCTCTGAAACGGGGATGGGGTGTGTTACACAGGAATTGTGTTTTAGCACTCAGGACACAGATTGTATTAATGCCAACCATATAGAAGTCTAGAAAGCCTGTCCTAAATTAGGTCTTCCTGTTTGTTTTAAGCCAATAATTCTGGCTAGAGTAGCCCAAGATTGAGAAGTCAGAAAGATAGTCATAATTCTTACAAACAGGCAGTCAACCTGTGTTGCAACTATTAAAGACACAGGATCCGAACTCAGATCTTTAGATTGCAGGAAAGGCAGATAGTAAAAATACTGTGCATAAATGATTAATTTATCTATCTATTAGTATAATATATTAATTGTTGCACTGTTTATCTCTTAAATTTCTAGTAAAATTTCTGTTGTACCTCCAACTCCACCTCCTTTCACAGAATCCACAGCAGGAAGCAATGTGATGGTAAATGTATGTATCTGCAAAATATACATATATATCCACTTGTCAGGGTGTCATTCATGTAAGAAGGCTGGCCACAGAAATGCAGGAAGCAGCAACTACTGCAGCATCATATTGCAATATAAATGCTGCCTTATGTTCCTTTTAAAGTTTTTTTTTACATGCTGCTTTGATAGCAGGAGAGAAAGGTCAGAGTCTATCATGAGGGAAGTTTTCAGTTAGTTTTCAGTTTTTGAGGGAAACGATTGACCACGCTACTTGGCGCTGGGATACTGCACTTGGTTTTTGATGCCTTGCTACAGGAAGGCTCCTGAGCTTCCCTCCATCCTGAAGGATCTCATCATCCTATGATATTCAGTAGTCATTTATAAAGCTATCCATATGTTACTTTCATTACTGGTGAAGCACAGTAAATTTTGATGGTTGCCTTTGCATTACAGTTTCTAGTGGACAGATTAGTAGGACATGGCTCAGAACTCATTGAAATCACACTGTATTACTATTTCAGTTAATTTTGGACTGGGTCCTCAGGCACTGGTTTTGATGCCCATTGCAATTCTGTAACCATTCTAATATGTGCTTACCCGGAGTTTGATGAAAGCTCTGATTCAGAGGCACAGGAGCATCTGTAATAGATAGGACTTTCCTACTTGAAGTATTAAATACATTACAACAAATCAGTGATGTAAGTAGTTGTATTTAAGAAATTGCTGTGTGATCTGCCTACAAAGGACTTCTGTTTCTATATCAAAGAGAATGGAACTGAAAAGATTATTTTCCATCTTCGTACATTAGAGTGACGGTCTTCAACCATGTCAACATATGTCTTCAGATGTATTTGTCTACAGAAGTAAGCAATAGGCTGCAGCCTTACCATCTGATTGTTATATGGTCTGTAGATAAGTGGTTGTGGAAACTTTTAAAACAGCAAGTATTTTGTGATTTCTCACTCTTGGCATCTCCCACTTGCAGGAACTCAGTCAGTCTAGAAGTTTTAATAAATCTGTGGAAAACTTGTTCCTGTCTCTCACAACACATATAAAAAGTAAGTAATTTCCATTGCTTTATTCTTCTAGAGTAATATAGTGAAATGTTTTTTGGTCCAAACTGGTGGCCAAAAAATAACTATTAAAAAAGGGTATTGAGAAATGGCCGAAATGACTAATGCCAAGACTGAGCCAACCTGTAAAATAATACAGTAAGTACAGTTCTCGAGTGTTTTGTCAGTTGTTTAACAAGCTGATGATACCAACCCAGAATGCCTTTCTTGTGTAGATGTGAAAAGACTGTATAATGTCATTTTTAAGTTTACTGTGTGTTCAGATGCAGTGTATTTAACTCGCACTAGCACAGTGTAATAACCACCTTCTACTGTAGGGATATTCATGTTGTCTCTTTGACTTGAACCCCAACTGACCCTATCAAAGACTCTATCATGTAATGGAAGTGGAGTTTAATATTTTCATTCACTGGCAGTTTTCAAGAGGGCTTCCTTCCTCTTTCTCAATCTGTCTAGTTGAGTGCTTTTTTTCCAGTTTATACTTCTAAGAGCCAGCCAGTCCTAACAACTCTTCATTCTGCTACTTCTCATTCCTTCCATTTGCTTATGCTACCTGCTGTTCTTTAGGGTACAGACTGGGTATGCACCTCTAAGGCTAACTACACTGAGGATAGCCAGCCTCGGTGAAGAACAAATTAAAGGCATCAGTGACCAAAGGAAAACAACTTCTGAGCCTTATGAAGATTACAGGGGCTTGCAGATTTGCATGTACTTGATCGGACCTTAGTGTTTTCTTACTAACTTCATTTTATACAACCCCAAAAATGGGATTAGACCAGAATAAATTTGTCTTCAGTGCCTTTCAGCCTTTATCCCTAACTCTTGTCCTAGCTTTTTTTTGGTCTTTCCTCTAACTTCTCCCACCCATCCTAAAGGCCTGGTCTTTAACTAAACAAATTTAATATTGTCTGTGTGAACACATATTAAAGCTATGTAGAGACTCAGTGGCTGCCTCTCTTGAACAGAAGTGTAGTGTAGGGTGGCATAGGACACTTCATTGCTGGAAGCAGATAGCCGAGGTAGCACAGAATTGGATAAAAAGCAATTAATTCTGATTTCTATTAGCCTAAAGCCAAGTCATACCCCAAAGTTACTGGTGAAGACTGTCAGGACTGCAGCAAGCTAATTTAATAGTTTACTGCTAGCAAAAGAAAGATCCTACTCCCCCCCCGCCCTGTAACTTCTGTTGCTGGCCTTATGCTGCCATCACTTAACTTGAATTAGCATCAGTGTTCCTGGACCCTTCTGGAAACTGATTCAGTTAATTAAAACGGCAAAACATTAGCCCAGACAAAACACATAGGTGCTTTTCTGCTAGCTTAGTGAGTTGAATAGGTTCAGGGTAGGCTATGTATGTTGGAGGTGGCACAACAGAGGGTGCTGGGCTACATGGCCAGGGGCTGAGTAGAGAAGAGCAGTGGTTGCAGAGGGGAAAAGGGCAGTAAGTTGTCAGCTCAGTTCAGCTGTATGTGGAATCCCACTCAAGTGCTGTCACTCTCTGTTAAGGTAGAACCTTTTAATTTGTAAGAAAATAACAGGCTGTTGCAATCACTGAAGTCAGTAATCAAAAAGTACAAAAAGTCTTACAGAGAGAAAGGCTTGGGCTTCTTGGCTTAAGAAAACAGCTCTTCTGGACAGCATGGCCTCTTAATGGAACCTGGTAATGTGTTGAGAAATGCTTTTGGTCACAAGTGTATAAAGTTAGTACTCTGTCTTATCTAGATAAAAAAATGTCCTGGTTTGCAGAGGTATTTAATACACCCAGCTCTTGTGTGTTGCAGTAAATAAACCTGGAGAACCTCGTTATGCCTCTGATTCTGGAGCTTGTGTTTGTGCATGTCTGAGAGCAGCAGGAACAAAGGATTAGCATGTGCAGCACAATGCTGCCTTGTACAGTCTGCTCTTTATGCTGTTACCTCCTGTTCCAGCATGGTTTGGCAGGAATAGGAGGTTATAATCCAGTGGCTGCCATTTGGAGAATGTAAAATGAGGTGCTGGTTGTAGTTTTCTTTGCAGTGCAAAACCACCCTTGGCACGATGATGTCTGCTTTACTGGTATTTGGGTAGAGAACCCAAAGGAGGAATAGATATGAAAACTGAACAATATTTCTTTTTTTTTTTTTTTTTTTTTTTTCCTTTTCCTTGATAACCTGTTTGTTCTAGCAGAGTGTGAGGCAAGCTTGTGTTTCTGCTTCTCCTGCTGGTTGAGCTACTTGTATCTACTCCATTAGATCTCTCACTCCAGTCCTTTTATGATCTCTGATTTCAGTGTGTATTTTAAAAACCTGGTTTCGTTTACAGTCAGAGATGACTTAAATGAGCCTGCCTGTAAATATGTCATGTGATGCCTTAATAGTGTGCACAGAGTACAGTAAACAGCTGAGGGCTGATTGCTGCTAAGAACAAAACTAATCCAAAGTGGCTTTAGGAGTCACACTTGAGAGTGTGTTGAATTTTTTTTTTTAAATACTGTAATAACCTATTGTCTGCTCCTCCACAGAGGCTCATGTTATGAGAGAAATATTCATTTCTTCTGTATGAATTAAACATATGATAGCTATTTCATGTACCACTTATAAGTTATTAATTCTTCATGAGAGACTATCTAGGGTTTGCAATGAAGTGTCTGCTGCTAAGCCTGCTAGTTTTCAACTTCAGACACAGCTGGGTGCTGCTCTTCCCTTTATGTGAAGTTCTGACTGTACCATGAGGAATAAGAAGCAGAAAGTACCACACTAAATGTCTAATTGTTCTATAGATTTATTTGACAATAAACTAGATGTTACTAAAGTGCTAATTCAATAAGGTACTTATGTATGGACATAAGCTTATCCATATGAGTAATGTTATTGAAGTCAATGAGGGCTACTCATGTTCTTAAAATTATATGTGGTTTGGTACCAGAGTTATGTAATAGCTCTCCTTTCATCTGTGTTTTGGGTACATTTCTAAATACTTTCCAATATGCTCTTCTTTCTAATTTCCATTGTCATGTTGCTTTATGTTGTAATGATCTTTTATTCTGAACCAAACCAAACTGCTTTACAAATGAAACTATATATAGGGACTGTAGTAGCTACTTCTGCATGGAAACTGTATTTGATAACATACAACAATTCCTTGCAGCAGCTATAATGATAGGAAGTGAGGAGTATAATTTCCAGTTGAAACAGCAGGAAAGATTTAGGTGGAAAAAAATATCATTATACAAAATGAGACAAGCACTTGCCTTCCTATCTGTTTCTTACTCTTAGGAGATCAATACTAAAACTGCAGGATGAAAGTTTGAAAGCTACAGAATTAGCCTATAATATCTACAGGGTTGCTTGCAATGTTTGTTATAGTGACTTTTCTCTTCATTTTCACTTCAGAAATCTCTAAGTCCCAGAATGATATGGCTGACAGACGTCTCCTAACTGCAGATCATGGGCAGAATGTGGAAAGAAGGAGGCAAAGAAGGAGCCAGTCTGACACTGCCATCAACATTACAAGCAGGGTATTCATATTATACATAGTCTCTAACTGTAAGGGATGTCTCGGGAATGGAATATATTTGTAAGAATAAGGACTTACACAGTGGAATTTTACTTTCGTTATATATTCAGGGCTTAGCTGTTGTTCACTGACCGTGGCCAGAACTCTGATTCTTCACAAGGTTTTTCACTGAGTCTGAACACTTGATCTCAGCTCAGAGCTGGAATGTTAGACTGAGATTTTTACAGAGTCTCACACAGGGAGGGAGAGAGTGGGTCGTTTCTCTCCCAGTTGCTCACAGTCTCTCTTGAGGCTGATTGATGTCTGCTCTTTGTGATTGTTGGGCTGCCGGGAGATGCTTTATCTTTTGTCCTCTTGCTGCCCCTCTTGCTGCTGCCAAGCTATGACCATCATAAAACCCATCCTGACAATTTCTGAGCACTTTTTAATTTGGCAAGGAGAAAATGTTGCCTGCTGTTAGCTGTTAGTCCTTTTCCTTTTGCTTTGGTTACAGTCTCTAGCTTTCAGTGTTTTCTTGAGAAGTTTGAGAAAAATCCAGTCATCTGTTTTTCCACAAATTGTTCAGGGCTGAAGATGATGTCACATACCCGCTTTAAAGTTACACTGAGGATTTTGTGTTGTACACTTTCACCTCTCAAGTAACTGAACTTTGTCCATACTCTATTTTCAACATAGTGGGTGCTTACTGAATCGCCTTGTTCTTCTGAATGAGGTAAATGTGGTCTGCTGAGTGCCTGGATTAGATGCTGAGAAAAGCTTTGGGCCAGACCTCATGGTAAATACTACTCACAGCTCTCTTGGTGCACACTTTTCACTTTCCTCTGGGGTGTTAGGTGTTGATAAATGGAAGAGACAAGATGTCAGACTGCATGGACTAGTGGTTCGAATTGGCCCAACAAGGTCTGTGAACTCTCTGAAATTAGTTCTGGTATTTTTGTATACAATTATATTGTAAACAAAAGTGGCAACAGTTGTTAAGTACCAGAGTGCTGCTTTCATTGTGGCAAAACACATTCCAGTGTGACTTTATTCCACTGGCAGAGCACTGCTCTTTTAATGCATCAAAAAATATTGCAGTTGGAGATAATATGAACTTAAACTGTGTTTTGTTGCATGCTGATCGCATGCAGCCTGTTGTGTTTAAAAGATGGATATGGATTCTTTGGCTTGAGAAACGTACTAGTAGGAGATTACAAATTATTTGTGGGGCTTTTTTAATTGCTCATTTAAAGACTTGGGACTTAATTTGTGTCCATCCTGTGTGTTGCAGAATTTGAAAGATAGATTTCAATGGGTTTTGTGTGTCAGAGCAGTATTTCTCTAAGTTGTGGAGCTTTTGTCTCATTCAAACCACTAAATTTAAGTTAGAATTTTAGCTTTACTAGAATTACTGTTGATCTTTTTTTCTTATAAATGCCATCTTTGACATTTAGAGGTGGTTTGGTTTTTTTTTTTTAATATTAAGGAAGTCTTACTCATCTGTCCCTGCACTCACATGACAGCTTTTGTATCTTTACTGTGATTTTAAAAATGAGTTTTAATTTCTGTCAGTGGCAGTACTGCATTATTCTTCCATTTATTTTTTTCATTTCCATCTTTGTTTTCCTTCAATAAAGGTAGCTGTTTACATCCTTACTAAAACTATGACTTCAGTTTAGACACAGGACCTGATTTAAATTACACTTGCAAAACAACTACTCACATTTATAATAAAATATGATGTATAAATCTTTCTTGCTGTGATTACCTCCACAGAAAGAATTTTCATTTTCAGAGAATGCATTGAAACGATGAGGTGTTTTTGTCTAAAAAATGTGCATTTTTCTTCAGGAATGGCTGGGAAGTAATAGCTGTACCAGCCATTTTGAATGTGCAGGGTATAAGACTGGGGCACCACTTCAGTCTCAAAAGCATTATCTGTTTCTTAAGTAAGTTTTCCAAACATGCGATATGTTCAGAGCTTGATTCTTTCACGTTAAACTTGAAAGAGGTTTTATTTAACTAAATAAATAATAACAGTATTATATAATAATAAATGAAAAAATAATACTGAAAAAATGATCCCACGGCAAGAACTAGCAGCCAGTGCAAAGTCTGGATTTAGGAAGTTGATTGAATAGTGTATTCCAGGGCCTCTCTCCATCAGAATCTCAAAGCTCATTGAAGGAATAACCTTACTGGGGGAACAAGCAGACGCATGGAAGCTTTGGAAGCTGTTTGTAGTGTGTCAGTAGCTGTGGGTTACCCCTCCTGTGACAGCAGATGCATGCTGCTGCAGATGTTAGAGCTAGGCTAGAGGAGAGTCTTGCTTATGTGACCTGATGCTAAGTTTAGCACTGTTAGTTATGGTGCCTTGCTAATCACTTATGTTCTGTTTAACACAATAGAGAAGTCTTTCTGATCCAAGTAGAAGCTAGAATTTGGTGTGTAGTAGGTTGGTTTGGGCAGTAAGTGAAATTGGTGGTGGTGGTGGTTCAGGTTTTATAAAGCAGAAGACAATTTCTCTGCTGAGAAATATGGTTTGGTGTTTGGGGATTTATGAGACTCTGTTCTGAGTGCATTTTCTGTCCGTTTCCTTTTCACAAGAGAACTTAATGAATTCTTACATCTATTCTTAAAGTAGGGCAGTTACTACACATAACAATTTCTGTGTGTAATAACAGAATAGTGGTTTGGATTTTGTACATCCTGTGTTCTTTTTCAGAAGTAATGTCAATATATCATCTCCTCGGTTATCCTCATTCTTTTGTGCTTTCTGCTGACTGTGTGGGAGGGGTTCCCAGGTTTGTTAAATGTATGTAGTTTCTTTTATGCAAATACATTGCAATCCTTTTTGTTGATTCAATCACACTCTATTCTTTCCAGTCTTTCAGGTAATCCCTGTTATACATTATTTTTAAGAAATTATTTTCTTAGTTCCTAACCATGTAAAGTTTCTTACCTCACTCTTCTCCTACCCATTGAACCGCAAACATAGTTTTCATAGCTTTTTTTATGTAGGGGGGTGGTGTGCCACAATGAGCTAAAATCTATTTCAGTCTTTCAGCACTTCATTCTATTAAGTTATTAACTGTTGTTACTGGTAACAGAGGTGGCTGAAGTTAAATCTCAAGGAGTTTTGCTACTATATATGTTAATTTTTCACAAATTATCAGGGTATTATTCATGGAAAAAGTGGAAAGATGAATGGACTTAGTCAAAGCAAAGTCAAGAACACCTCAGAAATGTTAACTTTGTCTGTAATCAAAGTTAAATAAGAACTTGAGTCTGTTTCTATTTCCAAGTCTCTTTCAACTTGCATTCATTCTTGCATACATAGACACGGGCATGTGTCATGCGTATTGCAAAATACTATTTTGAATTTCCTGGAGGCAAGGTTTTGTTGGGTTTTTTTTTGGTTGTTTTCTTTTTTTTTTTCTTTCCCAAAATTACTGGTTTGTTAAAGACTAATAAGGCCTTTTATTAGTATATTGCTACTTTTGGTCTGTTATTAGTAGACTGTTGTTAGTAATTGCTGCAATACTGATCCTTAGATTAGGTTGTGGTATGTTTAGAATATTAAGAATATAATGAATGTACTACCAGCTGGGATTGGAGAGTTGCAAATCAACTTAAATTAATAATTCAGTGAAGTTACTAAATTGTCTTTGAAAGTGTGTCAGCTGTGTGACATTGATCAGAGTGAATTGTAGCTATTTACTGAATTTTATTCTGATGGGATAGCATTCCTGAGGGAAGTGGGGCATTTTTCTCAAAACAAATAAACAAAACAACAAACAAAAAAAGCCCCAATTACTTGCTGGATTTCTTACAGATGAAAAGTACACCCAGTCTTCAGCAGCTCATCACCAGGGCCCAAAACGACAGTGAAATTCTGACCAAAAGGAATTGCAAAGAGGAAGAAGACATAACCAGTCCTACAAGTGATGCAGTTTTCTGTGATGGCAAAAAACATGTAAGTTAAAGGGTGAAGCACAACAGAACAGGTGTCTAATGGGAACAGAGATAAAAGCTAAGATGTGCAAAATGTTGGTGTATTTTGGGAAGACTTTTGCTTGAGTTCATATCTGATGAAAGACTAACTTTGGCACACTCCCCAGAGTAACACTAAACTTTCTGCAGCGTAAGTCTAATCAAATTAATAATGGATAATTGATAGATGGATATATCCATTAATAACAAATAATAGGTAGATCAGCTTCCTCTGATTTTGCAAATGCAACTAATATTCTTCCCATTCTATAGGGCTGGAATTGTGAACATGGTTCTTTCTAATTGAGTGGTAGTTTTTCTCTTAAAACTTCATTTAATGAAAGGGGTTTGTTATTCTGTAAGAGCTGTGGTAAAGGAAACGTCAGTGGAAACTCAGATGTCAGAATGTCAGTGAATGAAGAGGAAACTGACAGTGATGGAAGCCAGGGGAACAGTTCATAGGTTTAGGGGATGGCACTGAATCATCCTCTGATAGACGGCATTCTGAATACTGCAAATGAGAGAGAAGGAAGGCAGTTATAAATGAATCCAGCACATGCTTTAAAGCCTCTATAATTGAGTGTGGAAGGTAATTTCTATGTATTAGTGATGAGGTTAAGCAGGGTGAAGTATCCAAAGAATCCATGATTGATGATGTAAAGAAGGAAATGAAAATGACTCTTAGGGAATCAAAATTAAACCAGCCTGCTCACTGCAGAGGAGTATAAACACATACAAGGACCTTGGTGCGCTCTTGTAGTTTACTGCACTGTGGAGTCAAGGTGTTAAACTGACAAACTGGTAAACATTTTGGATGACAGTTGTGATTCTAGTGACAACCATTTGAGCTGGGCTATAGAGAGCCCAGGCTTAAAACTGACATGTTTTCTACTATCTTATAAGGGGGAAGGTCAGGTTCCATTAAACCTCCCTTTATGGGTGCTGGATGTTGATGACTACTCCATGAAAATACATCTTCCAAAATATCAGATGGAATTGCTTCCAGTCATGCCAGCAGAAGTGCAATACATGAAGTCATTGCCAAATCCCTCTTTATTGAACCAAAAGGAGGAATGATTTCTGCATTGAATGTACGTGACTCCTGATCAGGTGGAGACATATAGTGATATTCAGTCCAAGCATCATTAATCAGAACACCTATCCAACCTCTCTAAATAAGAGATTCTGTGGAATAAATATTGGGGACTTCTGCAGAACTTTTTTTAGGACATATGAGCTAAGACAAAAATCTGTTTGCATTCCCTTGTCATGAACGATTTTGGTGGAAACTAAACATTTTCTCATCAGATGAATAAAAACGTCAGTGAGTGAAAGAACAGAGCTGAACAAAGCTGTAAGGGAGGTTGATTACACTGTTGTGCGTCTTGTGGAGGGAGCAAGATTACATGCAACAAGCATCAAGTCAAAACAGTCCTAACACTTCTTGTGACTTCCTCAGTAAGCACTCTGACCCTGAGCACTCTGACCCTTCTTTTGTCAAATGTGTTACTTAGGTCTTACAAGATAGCATAGATAGCTGCTTTAATCTGATTAGGCTGTTGGTGTAAATTTTAAGAAATATTTGACAAGCTGCATGAAGGAAGAAGAGCCTCTGCTTGGGAAAGAGATATGATCTTCTAAACACTACTCTGCAGTCCTAGCTGCTGGGTTGTGCAATGTAGAACTCGTTGGTTAACCAGTCCTGTGTGGGTTGGAGTTTATTTTCAGAAGGAGGAGTGATCTAACACAGATATCTTGGCAATCTAGGGCAGTGTTGCTGTGAGATTAATCACAACAACAATTGTGTCCTCGTGACATATGCTATGTAAAAGGTTTCTAAGGCTAACTTTAAAGGATATAATTATAAATTGATGGAGACCGAACTATTTTGATTGATTTGATAGTACGTTACCTTGAAGTCTAGATAGCATCATAAAGCTACGTGTCTGTGCTGGGCCACAGAAAGGATTATAGTCTCTTCCTTCCACAGATGCAAATGCTGTTTATCTATGGATGGACAGTGTCCAAACCTTTGCCCCGTAGGTAAAAGGAGAACAGAGTGGCCGAGGCGAGTTAGGGAATACCTTCTTTATGCACTGACATACAACAACTAGATATCTTTGTATGTTACTCTTTCCTGAACTGTCTGATGCAGTATGGAGTATGTAATTTTTATATGGAACTGGGGCATCTTGTAGAAAACTTACTGGATGTGCAAGGCCACTTTTGTTTTCTTTAATACATGATAGAACCTAACATCTTGGCAGTGTACTCTACAATGAGCTATGCATTAAAAGCAGTTTAGTTTGATGTTTTGTATGTTCTTATGTTTCAGAGGTTTTTTTTCAATCTCTTCCTTTCAGACTGGTAAGCCACATAACAGTTTTACGTGGAGACGATTTCTAGATGTAGAAATTATCTAAGAAGGCATTTTCTTACCCTGGAGAGCTTACAGGGAGAAAAAGGCAGAGCAGTAAAACTGTAATTACAGTCATAATTTTCAGGACTGTTGTGGAAGCAATAGGATGTCTTATACAGGTTACCTTAAATCTTCTTGATTTGCAGTAGCTCTACAGTCATGTTTGTGAGGATACTGACCTTTGAGGAAAATGCGTTGTCTCGTCCTGTTTGATCTGAAGCTACTTTCCCCAAACGTTTGTCTTTTTCTTAGGGGAGTTTGTATAGTCTTAACAGCACTTGCACCGAGTCTGGAAATTTTGGCAAAGCTAATGTCACAGGAGAAATAGAGTTTGCCATGAGATATATCTTCAAAGCCTGCATCTTGGAAATTTGTATCAAGAGATGCAAGAACCTGGCTTATGGAGAAGAGAAGAAGAAAAAGTGTAACCCGTAAGTATTTGGTAGAGAAGCAGGAAAAAAAATAAGGAAAATATTCTGGGTTTAAGATACTTCTGTATGTTGTGATTGAAAGTGATTGATAAATCATGGTATGCTATATTGGCACTTTCAGAGCATTCAAGATATATACCAGCCCTTTTTACATACACTTACTGCCAGTTTCATATCAGCACTTGCTCCATTCCATGTTAGTAATTGTCTCTTTCC